CTTGCTCAAATGTTATTTCATTCAATTCTTCTGTATCTGCCAATTCCTTTCGATACAATGACTCAGTATATTCCTTCCATCTTCTTTTGATACCTCCTGGATCATTTAACATTCTACCAAAGGAAAAAACAGATCTGTCCTGGAGAGGGTAAAACCAGGTTGCTCCTAAGAGGTGAGGATTTTCAAACTCTGTCTCACGTACTTTCGGTATATTGTCAAGAGGGCCTAGTTCTTGGAGAAGGACATTATACTTGGAAGGGTGGAGAGACAGCCCAAGAGAGGGAGACCCTGGATGAGATGGATTTACACAGTGACTGTGGCAATGGAGTCAGGTAGATCAGAGATGATAAGGTTGGCTCAGGATAGGGCGAGATTCAGAGCTATTGTTCATATGGTGGCGATAAGGCATCCAGACATAAAGACAACAACTGTACTTTATTCTCTTCCGTTCCTCTGAGCTTGTCCTTCCCTGGACCCCAGTCACCCACTATCATTGTTGTCTTCATCCTCCACACCACAATCTAGGTTCTATTCTCTGTATATATACTGTGTCCAGATTTCCAGTTTGAATTCCATGACTCAACAGTTTCGTGTCTCCCTTGCCTGTGTCCTCAACTGTCTTGTCTCTCTCTCCCCACTTGACCCTCCCAGCCTCCACAGGTGGCTGATTAAACCCTATTCCTCCAGTTCAGCATTTCCTCCCAGAGAGCCGAGAGTGGCTGAGGGGAAAACACTGCCAGGCAGAGAGATCACACTTTTAATTCATTTAGTTCAAGTGAAGTCTCAGTTGAAGTTAATGACAACATTTCTCTCACCCATTCACACATCCGGGACCTCCCTGTGTGGGTCACAACAAATAGTGGCTAACATTGAGAATAATAGGAATCCCAGCACATTTGATTGTGTTCATGTGATACCTGTTCTTAGACCAAGAAGCTGTTGTCCAAAAAGAACAAGGAAACACTGCCTGGTTCCAAATCCTCTCCTACTCATTCCATTTTGCCCTCTTAGGGGAATGACTTTCTCCAGCACACTGACATGCATGTAGTAATGTAGCCCTTTAAACAACAACAAAAAATTTCTTGACCTCCATCTCTTCCTCTAGGAATCAATTTATTATTTTTTCCAATTTATAAAAAATTCTTTGCCATCACTCATTATCGCTAGTTCTTCTCCTACTCTTTTTTTTTTTTTTTTTTTTTGCTTATTTAGCTCCACCAAAACAGCTGTTGTCCAAGTCACCCATGATCTGGTTGCTAAACCAGCCTCTGAGTTGCTAAATACAGTGATTGTATCTTGATCCTCACCTCCCCTGACTCAGTAGCATTTGACTGAGTTGATCAGTCCTTGATCCCTTGACACACTTTTCTCTGTTGGCTTCTGTGCATCACACCCTCTTGGGATATCTCCTCCCTAATGTCTCAGTCCGTATTGTTGGGTAACCTCAGCTGTTGGATGAAAGACTTTGGAATATCCCAGGGCTCTACCCTTAGGCTTTTCCTCTTTTTATCTACATTCTCTGGAATGATCTCGCCAAGTCCCATAGCATTAAATCATGGTCTTAACACAGTTTATAGAAGCATTTATATAGCCCTTTTCCACTCAAGGAAAATACAAATTAAATTACTTTCATTTGTTTTTCTTAGTCAGGAAATGTTGAGCGATTCACAAGAGTCCTGACTTAACACTTAGCATTGCAAATATGGCATCACATTTTGAAAACATTCTGATCATGAAATCAGCAGAGGCTTCTGGCAAAAACAAACACGACAAAATCAAGAGAATTCTGCAGCAGGTATCTTAGTAAGAATCTTTTTTTAATGATGTTTTCTGTTATCAGCTTCCTAGGCTGTCGCTTTAGAGCTTCTGATATTGATGTTATTAAGAGAACACAACTCATTGCTTTGGAGTTGCAGCTGACTGTAGCTAACTCTTCAGCGGGTTTGCAGAGACTGTAAATCACAGGGGAAGAGATTGCTCATCTTCCTCCCTTGGAGCAGCTGGTGAATTGGAACTGCCAGAGAAGTGCTGCCTTGGGTAACTTCCCATGGACTAGGCCACGGAATAAACTCCTATAGATTACACTGTTATCAAAGCAAGACCCAAAGACCTGTATATTACAATTACCCGATGTCCCTTTCTTTTTAATCTTAAACATTATATAAACTTTCTATGGAGTTTCTGGATGGTGCAGTTAAGTTCTAAATTGTTGTTGTTGTTGTTATGTGCCACCGAGTCACCTGTGACTCATAGCGACCCTATCTGCTGTAGCTCTGAACCCTTCCCTGTCCTGAGCCAGTCTCACTGATTCTCACACACCAACCCCCATCGCCCCAGTTACTGTATCGTTCCATCTCATCTGGAGTCTTCCTCTCCTGCACTGTCCTTCCACCCTTTCGAGAATGATGTCCTTCTCCAAGGACCGATCTCTCCTGGCCATGTGCCCAAAGTATGAGAGACGGAGCTTCAAAATCCTAGCCTCCAAGGAGACACTTGGTTTCACACTCTCCAAGACAGACCTATTTGTTCTCTGGGCAGTCCATAGTATGTTAAAGACTCTTTTGCAGCACCACAACTCAAAGGCACTGATTCTTCTTCTGTCGTCTTTAGTCATTGTCCAGCCCTAGATTACTATCTAGAAGGTGGGCACTTTTAATCCAGAGGCATCTCTGTAGAGGTCACAGCCTTGAAGACCCAGTGGTTCTGTCGATGGAGCAGCTGTGTTCTGCACACACGGAGTTTTCAGGAGTCAGAATCAACTCCACAGCAACAAAGCAGCAACAGAATATTCTAAGTGTTGACATCTTCCTGTTATGAGGACTGAAATTGCTGATGTGTATGTGCTAGGTGATATCTGTAGATACCATGATATTTTAGAAAAATGCAAACATGTCCAGTCAAAACTGGGATCCTTTGTAGGCAATGCCTTGTCAGTTAATAAGACTGATCCAATATTTTGCAGCTCTGAGGTAAACTATTTTTCCCCTTCTTTTTTTAAATGTCCTAATATCACTGTTTTATTTGAGGGGCAGTTTTTCTGAATATCTAATTCTTGGTTGACATTTTTTCCCCAAGGTTTTATTTATGCCATCACATTTCCTTCTTGCCTGTATGGCTCCTGAGGTAAACTCTTAAGGAATAAGATTGGTACATAGTAGAGTCGACCAGAGAGTAACTCTTTCTAATTTGTTAGGAGTGTGACAAGCTAGAAGACTTATCCTCAGCTCATTTCAGGCCTGAGGGAGGGGAAAAATCATCATGGATTGTATATGTTCATATGCTCATTTTAGTAACTGTCTTCATCTGAAGATCTTAGACTTTCGATGTGGGTATTCTTTATTTTCTCCCGTGTCTATGGGGTTTATTAAGGAAGTCAATGAGTCATATTTCAGCTGTGGAACAGAATACAATTTTTCAGTCTCAGGCATGCCTGATGACTCTTTGACTTCCATCTCATAGTTTAAGGTCATTATTAGAAAATCCCCTTAGTCCTGCCAGTGATAGGCATTCTCCCTCTGTCCTCTCGCAAGCTTGGGCAGAGGCTCTGACTCTAGCTCCATGAGGTCCAGGTCAGCTCTGTCTCCTGTCAGCCTCTGCTTCTCCACTTCTCCTGCAGGCCTGGTGGGTCTGTTATAGGGATCTTTGATCACATGTACCACAGTAAACTGCCCATTTCTTCTTCTTCTACTCCTTCTCCTTCTCCTCCTCCTTCCCCTCCTCCCTCTCGCCTCCCTCCTCCCTCCTCCTCTTCCTCCTCCTCCTCCTCCTCCTCCTTCTTTCTTCTTTCTTCTTCTTTTTTTGTTGGTGGCAAGATTCTTGTTCTCTGTCCGTAAACCTAGTCCATTTAAGCCTTGTAGGATGGCAGAAGTGACCAGTCCTCTCATTAGTAGTCTACACACTTTGTTACACTTTAGTAGCTAGTTGCTTAATTCACACTGTTAGTGGCAGGCATTGTAGGTTGATCTCAAATCGAGAATTTTCAGGGGGGGGAGGTAGCCGTGTTAGAGAAGTCTTTCAGGTGATTCTGACTCCTAGTCAAGTCTGCGAATCCTTGGTACTCAGCCACTTTGTGATCATTAGTGACATCACTGAGCATGCCCGATTTGGGAGATGTTGGGTTTGTGATGGTTGCGCATTGGCCCTCTTCTCGGCAGGTTCCTGAAGGGAAGGTGGTGGTGCTTCGTTTCCGATTCATAGACCTCGAGAGTGACAACCTGTGCCGCTACGACTTCGTGGATGTGTACAGTGGCCACGCCAACGGCCAGCGCATTGGGCGTTTCTGTGGCACGTTCCGGCCTGGAGCCCTTGTGTCCAGTGGCAACAAGATGATGGTGCAGATGATTTCGGACGCCAACACAGCTGGCACTGGCTTCATGGCCATGTTCTCGGCGGCTGAACCAAATGAAAGAGGTATTATTGTTTCTGCATCATGACAATAGCAGCAAAAAGGCTCAAGTCTAGTGAATGTCCACAGCACTCCTGTGTGTGTGTGTGTGTGTGTGTGTGTGTGCGCACATGTGTGTATATATTCCTTTAATTTTTTGCAAGCAGAGAGCTAACCAACACTACCAAACCAGCAAGACAATATGGGGAAAGCCAGTATGCCTTATTATTGAAATTCAGCATAGACAGTTACAGTGTAAAACTGTGACGCTTAGACATACTTATACACAGACATATCCCTCCACTGTATTCTAGTTCTCCAAAGGAATTACAAATAAGCCAAACTTACTGTAGTTGAGTCAGTTCCAACCCATAAAGTAGAAGACAAACAATGTTATAAAAATATTCCCGGTATGGTGGAAGTCAGAGGAATGGGCTCCTAGACTAGGGATGCAGGAATTGGTTGTGCTTTTCTCATGGTTAGCATCTAGAGGGTGTGTGTGAGGAAGAGCAGTTCAGTCACAGATTTTGGAAGTATTACATAACGTAATGTATTGGGGAAACTTAACAATGATTTTAAAAAAACAAACCAAAAACAAAACAGAACTCCTCTAACTGAGCACATATTATGTGCTTCTCAAAAGGAAACTCTTAAAAGGATCAGGCTGAGGGAGAGAACTATTTAAAAGAGATATATGATTGAGTATTATTGTCATGACAGGAGGCCAGAAGGAAGGCTGCACAGTGGAGTGGACTTTAACTTTTCAAGGAAAAGAGTGAATTGGGGAGGGGCGGTCAGGGAGAAAAGTACAACAGTGAATGACTGGAAACCCTCAGTCTCTGTAAACTTTCATTAAAATTAATTTTAACAAAAGTAAAGATATCAAGTTAAAAATAAGGTTCAGGCTAAGGAGTGAAAGAAGGCAATAAGGAAGGGAAAGGAGACAGCTTTTGTAAACTTGAGGTGAACAGAAAATGAAATAAGAAACCTTGAAGGACACAAATCCTCTTCCTTTTATCAAAATAAACCCTTTAGTTAAAAAATTTCACAAAACTGACAGTAGATAGTGCATTATTAAATTTATGCCAAACATCTCACACTGGCAGTCCTGCCCATAAAACACAGGATTTATAAAACTACCAGAATATGAAAATTAATATTAAAATGTTTTGGCCGATAGCCTCCCTCCAAAGGGTGGAACAGAGTGAAATAACACTTTAAACTTAGTTCAGTATCCTTTTAAAAGTATCTGAAAATGCATGAAAAGAAACCATTTTAATGAGAAATTTTAAAGCTAAGCATAGAAAGACAAAACAATAACAAAAATTAAAGTGAAACAAAATCCACCCAAGATGAAATTAAATAAGACTGGATTGAATATATGTTGTTGTTAAGTGCTGTCAAGTCACAGGCGACTCATAGCGACCCTGTGAACGAAAGTGCTGCACACCTCCTGTATAACTTTCATCCTTTCTCCAGGTTCATAGGATTTCCCGAGGCAAGCTGTTATGGAAGTGGATGCCACTCCTGCTTCCAAGCTTGTTTTAATCCAGAAGCTCCACCAAGCACTGTCCACCATGGGTAACCATTCTCGCATTTGACTCCTCGGTGTCACAGTGTTCAGCTTCACAGCAACCACGAATTTCCTCTGTACAGCAAGTGGACATACCAGGGTTACACAACCTAGAAGAATGTTTCACCAAAAACAAAGGCAGGCCTGAGGGCCAAGGAGTTGAGTCACCCACCTTTGGTTAGGGAGCATGGCTTTCTGTCTGCTAGGCCAACTGAGCGTGCTCTCTCTCTCACGCGTGCTCTCTCTCTCTTTCTCTCTCTCTCTCTCTGCTGTTGTTGTTGGTGGTATGAACATAAGTAGGAAAGAAAAAGCAAAGGACAAAATTATCAGAAAGAAAGGCTACATTGTAAGAAGTCTGAAAAAGATTGTAGTTGGTAAAACAAGTGACAGTGATAGAGAAATGAGTGAAGGACAGAATAAAAGAGTTGGAAGAGAGATAGAAACTGAAATGGAAGGTAAACAACTTAAAGATAATTTAAGTTCCACAGGAATAAAAAGCAATGGAAAAGAACTGACCAAAATAAATAAATGACAAAGAAGTACTAAAGAATTGTAGCATGTTCATACTACATTTTCTAGTAATGGATGTTGTAGTTTATACCAGTTAATCCAAACCCTGTCCCTGTCCTTGTTCATGAATTTTAAATCTGTTAATTTCCCTACCATGAGGGTTCTTAAAAAAGATGCAATTCATTGTATTTACCTGCTTTCTGAATGTGCTTGCCTAAATATTTTGTCCTTAAATTGTTAAAAAAAATAAGCAAGAGAGAACTGTGGTCTTGACTCTACTTTTCTACTTTCTTGAGTTGATGTGATCTGTCAGGTAAATAAGAACATAGAGATGGTTGAAGAATTCATTGGTGTGTATGCGTATACTATGTAACCAGTTTTGTAAAGGGGAAATGTAAGAAGTTCTTTCATAACCTTATTTAGTTTGGTGAATCAATCCCAACTCGTAGTGACCCCACAGAACTGCCTTTTATGGTTTCCTAGACTTTAATCATTATGGCATTCTGGAGGTGAAGTTCATAGTGAATTTGTGTTGCTAACTTTGCTGGTTACAGTCTACCAGTGGCTCCTCAAGAAAAGGGTAGTCATTGTCTCTTCACATTGTGATTTACAACCTCAGAAACTCAATGGAGGGTCAACTAGGAGTCAGAACTGCCTTAATGGCAGTGAGTGGCTTAATCTTTAAGAAAGCTGACTGCTACATCTTTTTCTCTCAGAGTGGCCAGTAGATTCAAACTGCTGACCCGTCAGATAATAGCCAACTGCTTACACCCTATGCCAGTCAGAACTGTTCCTATTTCATATAGGCTCACCCAACCTACATTATGATATGAGTTTGCATTGTTTTTTTTTTTTTGTTGCATGGGGGGTGTGCGTGTGTATGTGTTTAGTTGAATGCAGTATTGTAAGTTTCCGATTTCTATGTGAGTTTATTTTTCCCCCCATGTAGGTGTATTGTATAACTCTTCTAAAATCTGTGTTGTTGGGTTTTTTCCTCATATGTCATCATTTCAGGGGATCAGTATTGTGGAGGACGCCTCGAAAGACCTTCAGGCTCCTTTAAAACCCCCAACTGGCCAGATCGTGATTACCCTGCTGGAGTCACCTGTGTGTGGCACATTGTAGCTCCAAAGAATCAGGTGAGAGAGTCTCTGAAAATGTGAAGAATACATGTATATTCGTTTCTTACTGATGTTATAACAGAAATACCACAAGGGGTGGCTTTAAGGAACAGAATTTTATTTTCTCACAGTTTTGGAGGAATATTGTCAGTTCTCACTCATGGTTCATAGAGTAGAACTACACTCTGTAGGGTTTTCAGGCCTGTGACCACTTCCAAATCTCCAGTCCTGTCTTCCCAGGCGCCGTGGGTGGTCACCTGTGAGCCATAGCAACCCTATTTACAGCAGCTCTGAACCCTGCCTTGTCCTGAATTGTTTTCATTAATTCTGACACACCAAAATGTCACTTAAAACAATTAGCTTAAACACATCCTACCCTGACACAGCTTCATTCATATAATAAAGAAACTCCATTCACAGGTACTATATCTACAAGTAGTTGTTGTTACACGCTGTTGGGGAAGTTAGGACTCATAGCAACCTTATGCCTAACAGTTTGGAACCTTTCTCTATCCTGTGCTGTCTCATAATCTCAGCCATGCTCAAGTCCAGTGTTAACAGTCAGTGTGGCAGTCCGTCTCGTTAAAGGTCTTGGGTTAGGATTTACAACATTCGTTTTTGGTGTGGGAGTAGGGACAATGGAAAGCAGCATGCATGAGGGAACTACCCAGCTTTCAAGAGCTCTGGGAGAGCTAAGAGTGAGTGCTATAGAGGAAGGGGCTGCTTGAGGCAGGTGTTTCTCATGCAAAGACTCCAATTAAAGCTTCCCTTTGAACTGTTTAACTGACAACATCATGGATTTAAAACCTTAGCTGCAGTATTCAAAGCAGGTTTTGAAAATACAGATGGTAAGAAAATACCGGGTGATGTTGCTGAGCTCTGATAGGGCGAGCAGAAATCCCTCGTGACTTGTACTGTAGGTGACCAGTTGCTTGTTTAATAAGCTCATTGTGTCCTGATAATAATCACGTTAGATACCAAATCAAAGCCAATCTGAGTGCTTGGCGTCAGCAAATTATGTAATTTCTCAAAATTCTGGGTAAACCACATTGTCTTCTCACAGGCAAAATGTGGGATGTGAAAGCTGCTCTGTGTTATTTTAGTTGTTGTTTGTAATGAAATCCATGCAAATTCCCCACAAAAAAAAAACCAACCCCAAAAAACACTAAACCCTTTATTGATTCATAGCTCTAACCCAGCTAAAAATGTAAGTAATTTCCCAGGGTTTAATAGTTCATGGTTGTGTATATTTCTGCCCTTATTGGGGACTGGTTTTAGGTATGAAATTGATGTTGTTGTTGTTATGTGCCGTTGAGTCGTTTGCGACTCATAGCGACCCTATGTACAACAGCCCTAAACCGTGCTCTATCCTGTGCCAATCTCATTGCCTCTGACACACCCATCCCGAGTACCCCAGTCACTGAATCAATCCACCTCATAGAGGGTCTTCCCTTCCTGTGCTGTCCCTCCACTCTGCCCAGCATGATGTCCCTCTCTAAAGACCTGTCTCTCCTTACAACATGTCCAAAGTATGTCAGGCGAAGCCCCAGAATCCTTGCCTCCAAGGAGCAGCCTGGTTTAACCCTCTCTAGGATGAATCTGTTTTTTTTTCCTGGCAGTCCAGGGTACATTCAGTACTCTTCTCCAGCACCACAGCTCAAAGGCGTCAATTCTCCTTCTATCCTCCCTAGTCATTGTCCAGCTCTCTGATGCATAACAAGTGATTGCAAAAACCATGGCCTGTATCAGGCGCACTTTAGTCTCCAGAGAGACACTGTTGCTCTTGAGTATTTTGGAGAGGTCCCTAACCGTAAATATTATTTGCCATGGCAATAGATGAAGCTTACTTTGTGAACTTTAAAAAATTATCTCAAAGGCATTTTTGTTGTTATGTGCCATCGAGTTGACTCCAGCCCCAGCACAACAGCTGTGAATCCTGCCCCTTCCTGAGCCGGTCTCACTGCCTCTGACACACCGACCCTTCTACCTCAGTTACTGTGTCAATCCATCTCTTCACGCTGTCTCTCACACCTTCCAAGCATAATGACTTTCTCCAAGGACTGGTCTTTCCTGACAATATGTCCAAAGTATGTGAATCAGAGCCTCCAAAAACCTTGCCTCCAAGGAGCAGCTTGGTTTCACCCTCTCCAGGACAGAGCTGTTTGTTCTTCTGGCAGTCCATGGTGTGTTCAGTACGCTTCTCTAGCACCACAACTCAAAGGCATTCTTTTTGTCTTTTTTTGGTCATTATCCAGCTCTCTGATGCATAATAAAGATTTTCAAAGACTGTGGCCTGGATAAGGTTCACCTTAGTCTCTAGACTGACGTTGTTGCTCTTCAGCACTCTGGAGAGGCCCTTGACAGCAGATTTTCCTAATGCAATTTTTTTTTGTTTATTCAAAGGCATTATTATTACAAATAGTATTCTCTTGGTCTCTGGTGGCTTAGTGGTGAAGAGTTACGCTGATAACCCAAAGTCAGGTGATTCAAATCCACTAACTGCTTCCTGGAAGAAAGATTGGCATTTCCCTCCTGTGTGGTTAACTACCTCTAAAAACTCTTTGTGGGGTCAGCTCTGTGTCAGTTCTGACTCGATGGAACATAACAATAACACTGTGTGATGAACTTTATGATACTGTTTAAAATGTTGTAAATTGATATCCCATATGACTTGTACAAATATTATTTGGCACATATCTGTTATTTTAGTGGAAAATTATTCAGGCAAACATGTCATTCATGTTTCTGACTTAAACACATGTGCGCCCCCATGTGCGCGTGCCCACACATACACCCCAAAATCCAAAACCTCAGTTTTATTTTTAAGAAGAAAAGTATGGTCACTTTTTTTAGTAATTAAAGTTTCTCTAAACCTGCTGAGTATCTTATAGTCTAAATTAACATTTTAAAAATTCAATTTCTCATTTATTTAAACAACTGAAATTCCTTGAAAGTTAGGAATCATTTTTTTTTCTGTGACATTTATTGTTATCGTCTCCTGTCAAGTGGTTCTGACTCCCAGCGACCCTGTAGGACAGAGTAGAATTCCCCCGTAGGATTCTGTGGGCTGTGTTCTCCAGAAACACATCACTACGTCTTCTGTCTCAAAGAGCTGCTGGTGGATTTGATCTGCTGACCTGTAGATGAGCAGCGTAGAACGTAACCATTGTGCCATGTAGCCTCTAAACTTATTAGCTTCTAAACTTATTAGACTTAATAATTATAATCCAGTTATTCTTGAAAACTACAACTCAGCTTTTCCCCCATAGTTTTCCTTTTATTATTTACATTTCAATTTGAGTTTTATTTTATTGTGATTTTTTTTTCTTAATCCAGTTGACATTTTTAATCACCTTTGTAGTATCTGAATCACTGTGAATTCTACCCAAAGTAAGGAAATACAATTAGAAAAGCGAATCCCAAATAATATCCTTGCAAGCCTATGGAAATTATTTTTTTTATTACAGACTTTCCTTCACTTTTTTAAAAATCATAGACTTCTCCTTCATCCTCACCTTTTTAAAAAAAAAATCTCCAAAAATTGTTATGTCGCTAATTCCTATGTAGAGACATTTCAGCCTATTTTTTTTATAATCTGAAGGTATTTTATTAGCAACTAATCAGAAGTCACTAGATCTAAAGAAGAAGGATTTCATAAATTGGACACAGTGTCAAGTATGGACTACCATTATTCTACTTATTACTGATGCTGACTTTATAAAAAAGATAACCATGTTCAACAGCAGTTGTGTTCAAAGCCGTTAAAACCACATGTGATACCATTGCTGTTATCATCATTTTATAGATGAACCTCTGAAAACCCTCTGAAGGGTTAGCTATAAGTCGTTTCTGACTCACTGGTAAATAATTACAACAACCGAGAAAACTATGTTTGCGCCTTTTTTAGCCAATAGCCATGTGACTGTTCTAGCAATAATTAATACGCACTTGCTTCCTTGAAACAGCAGGTAGAGTTACCTGTTGACTGTCACGCACCAAGAGTATCAGCTGTCCTGACATTATGTGAGAGTTGCCTTGCTTCACACATTGGAGATGATCTTTAAAAATCTGCTTGCCAGAAAGTGTACATCACCAGACGAGTGGATAGACAAAATGTACTAAATGCACTGGAGGATTAGCCACTAGGAGAAATGACACTCGGATAAATCATATCAAATGAATGAGTCTTGAAAACATTATGTTGAAAGAAATAAGTCAGATGCAAAAAAGACAAACTATACAGTCTCATCTACAGGAAAGATCCTACCAAACAAATACACAGAGACAAAATTGTGTTAGTTGTTACTTCATTCCTGTTTCAGATTCTGTGAAACTTTCGGAACTGGAGAAGGATGGTGGCATAATAGGGGGGACATAACTAATATTACTAAGAAGTTATATTATGAAGTGGTCAAAATGACAACTTTTTGTTTCACCACAATAAAATTAAAAATAAACTTTTTGCTCGCTACAATAAAACTAAAAAGAAGTTCTTTGTTTCACTACAATAAAACTAAAAATTGAGAGTGAGAAAGAGCCTGTAAATGAGAAGGGACATTTTAAAAAAGCAAAACACAAACTGTGTGCAGGGGAATGATTATGTATTAAGGTAAAACTTGCTAGTAATTGGTTTCTGTAATTCAAGACACTGTTGCTTGTATTAACCCAGTGAATGAAGAAAATACTTAAGAATCTTGACAATGACTTTGCCATTTTTTGTATCAATGTCTTCAGAAACTACCACATCTAACAGGCAGTGTTTGCACACTTTTGAGCCATACTTCAGTAAAACATCACCTTCAACTCCCATGTCACCAAATCTTTGGCCCTAAAATAGTTAAGTTCTTTAAATGTAACTGTTGTTGTGTGCCTTCGAGTTGGAACTGACTGATAGCTGACACTCCAGCAGGTTTTCAGATGCAATTACTCACACAGGAGAAAATTGCCCATCCTTCTCCCTCAGATCATACGTGCCTCAGAACCACCTGCCTTCGAGATTGCAGCGCAGCTTCTTCCCACTAGTCCACCGGAGCTCCCTTAAATATGTCAATGCTCTTTCCTTGGAAGGAGAACAAATCTCTCTTATCATTGTAGGTACACACGTACACACACACAGGCAACACTTTAGCTAATATCCTTTTTTCCTCTAGATGTAGCCATTTTCAGGGACCTTAATGATCTCCATTATCCTTAAGGCTCATAACATGACTGTAATATTACCAGCTTTCAAAATATTTCTGCAAAAACATACACAGGTTAAGCAGAATAAATAGCCGGCTAGCTAGTATTATTTTAATATATTAACTGTCATCTAGAAAGTGAGATTGCTATATAGTTCCCCTTCCCAGCCCAGCATACCCTTAATTACTCTTATGTAGGTTTTGAGGATTAAAGAATGGTTCTATGCTTTTGTAGCTGTGTTGTTTTTGTCGTTAGGTTCCATGGAGACAAGGACAACTCATAGCGACTCTATGAACCACAGATCTGAACCCTGTCCTATCCTGTGCCATCTGCATCGTTTAGTCAAATGTGTTGCTGCTCTCACTGTGCGAATCCACCTCATTGAAGGTCTTCCTCTCCTTTGCTGACCATCTATCTTTCCAAGCATATCCCTTTTCCAGGAATAGCTCTCAAATGTGTGAGACACCATCCTTGCCTCAGAAGCACTGTGGCTGCACGAACTAAAATTCTGAGATTTATACACCTAATTGTGGTTGATCTTGATTTAAAATGACCTTTTGCAAAATATAAAAATTAAAGGGATAGAAAGAAGATAATTTTGTTAACTAAATGAGAATTATGTAACACGAAAACTATTTTATCAGGAGGATTATAATTTCTTTTTATTTTATGAAGTATATTGTTGTTGTTGATTGTGGTCAAGTCAAGCATGACTGATTGCAACCCTATGAACAAAAGACCTGAAGCCTTTCTAGAACTATCGTCACTTCTCAAAGTTGTTAGAGGTCCCAGAGGCATGTTGTTTAGGAAGTGGATGCCACTCCTGCTTCCCAATGATGAAGTATATAGTATACTACAAATTTACAAAGCATGGTATTCTACTTTTTTTAAACCAATTAGATCGCATACTACAAAATAGAAGAAGAATTCAGTTTGCAATTAGTCAGCACTGCTGTTTTCACCCTTCTAACCCTGTTCTTTCTCTAAAGCTTATAGAGTTAAAGTTTGAGAAATTTGATGTTGAGCGGGACAATTACTGCCGTTATGACTACGTGGCTGTGTTTAATGGTGGAGAAGTCAATGACGCTAAGAGAATCGGAAAATATTGTGGTGACAGCCCACCTGCGTAAGTAAACCGGAACCAAGCCAGTTGCCACTGAGTAACTTCTGATTCAAGGCCAATGCCATGCATTTTAGAGTAGAAATGTTCTCCACGGTGTGTCAAGTGCTGCTCGTGTCCACATTGTTGCTCAGTGACCCTTCGAGACCTGATGCGTTTCTTCAGCAACCATTTACAGAGCTGAGAATTCTGCCCAATTAGCTGTATGCCATTTCCCTACCTGTACTTTGCTGTCTTTTTGCTACACTTTCCTAAAACAACACAAGTAAAAGTGCCCATTGAAATTATGACAACTTGCCCTCAAAGTTGCCGTGTATCACCTTTACCAGTTTAAATACTGTTTTTTACTCTTTTGTTTAAAGACAGACTTGATGCATCAATTGATTTTACATGAGTTCCTGTGATTCCCCCAACATTTAAGTTAAAACAAAGTCTTTTTTTCCATTTTAACTAGTTTCTATTTATTTGTTGTTGCTGTTGTTATGTGCTGTCGAGTCGTTTGCGACTCCTAGCAACCCTATGTACAGCAGCCCTAAACCCTGCTCTATCCTGTGCCAATCGCATTGCCTCTGACACACCCATCCCGATTACCCCAGTCACTGAATCAATCCACCTCATAGAGGGTCTTCCCCTCCTGCACTGTCCCTCCACCCTCCCAAGCATGATGTCCCTCTCCAAGGACCTGTCTCTCCTTACAACATGTCCAAAGTATGTCAGACGAAGCCCCAGAATCCTTGCCTCCAAGGATTAGCTTGGTTTAACCCTCTCCAGGATGAATCTGTTTGTTTTCTTGGCAGTCCATGGTACATTCAGTCCTCTTCTCCAGCACCACAGCTCAAAGGCATCAATTCTCCTTCTATCCTCTGGTCATTGTCCAACTCTCTGAGGCATAACAAGTGATTGCAAAGACCATGGCCTGTATCAGGCGCACCTTAGTCTCCAGAGAGACGCCGTTGCTCTTGAGTACTTTGGAGAGGTCCCTAACAGCAGACTTTCCCATCGCGATACGTTTTTTTTTTTATTCCCTGGCTGCTGGTGCCAAGAGTGTTGACCGTGCAGTCAAGCAAACTGAAGCTGTGAACAATCTCAATCTCTTCGCCATCCATCCTGATGCTACCAATTGGTACAGTGGTGAGAATCTTTGTCTTCTTGACATTGAGCCTCAGTCCGACTGAAGGCTGCAGTCCTTGACCCTCTGCAGCAAGTGCATGAGGTCCTTCTCAGTTTCAGCAAGCAGGGTTGTGTCATCTGCATATCACAGACTGTTGATAGATCTTCCACCAATCTTGACCCCACATTTCTCCTCATAGAGCCCAGCCTCTTGGATAATCTGCTCTGCATACAGGTTGAAAAGGTATGGAGATAGGACACATCCCTGGCGTACACCTTTCCCAGTTTTGAACCATGCAGTGTTGCCCTGCTCTGTTCTGATGACTGCCTCCTGGTCCGAGTACAGCTTTTGCATTAGCACAATTAAATGTTCTGGGATTCCCATTCTTCTCAGAGTCAGCCACAGTTTATTATGATCCACACAGTCAAATGCCTTTGCATAATCAATGAAACACAGATAGACATTCTTCTGGTATTCCTTGCTTTCAGCCAAGATCCATCTGACATCAGCAACAATATCCCTAGTACCACAACCCCTTCTAAACCCAGCCTGGACTTCTGGCATTTCTCTGCTGATGTACTGTTCCAGTCGTTTTTGGATAATCTTCAGTAGAATCTTGCTTGCGTGTGAAATAAATGATATTGTTCTGTAGTTTCCACACTCAGTTGGGTCACCCTTCTTTGGAATGGGAACAAATGTAGATCTCTTCCAGTCAGTTGGCCAAGTGGTTGTTCTCCAGATTTCTTGGCACAGCTTGGTGAACACATCCAGGGCAGCATCTGTTAGCTGAAATATGTCAATTGGTATACCATCTATTCTTGGGGCCTTATTTTTTGTTATTTGCTTCAAAGCAGCTTTAACTTCTTTTTATTTAGTGGCTGTTAAGTTCAGGGTTATCACTGTTGTTATTGTTGTTGTTAAGTTCCATCGAGTCGAGTACGACTCATAGTGACCCTATGAACAAAAGATCTGAATCCTGTCCTATCCTGTGTCATCCCCACACTTCCTGACACACAAAAGCCCATTGCAGCAGTCACTGTGTCAATCCACCTCGTCAGGGGTCTTCCTTCCCTTTGCCGACCCTCCAACCTTCCAAGCATCATGTCCCTGTCCAAGACATAGCCCCTCCTAGCAACACGCCCAAAGTATGTGAGGCGAAGCCTCATCTACAACCTTTAACATACAAACGAATGGAGAGAAAACATGAATGAAGAAAAGAAACCTTAATCTGCAAGAAAGATGAAAAACAAACAAAAAAAGATAGGACAGAGAGAGAGAGCATAAAATATGATGATGGAAATTGGTTTAGATATTAACTATATTAAATGGACTGACTGGCCAGCAATTTTACAATAAAGCTGAGACTGCGAGGGAGCAAAGAAACTAGATTAAAGGAAATAGAGCAACCAGAACAGAACTAATGAGAATGTGCACACATGAGAAATGTAACCAGTGTCACTGAACAGCATGTCTGTTGACAACCCAAACTGCTGTGTAAACTGTTACTGAAAATACAGTAAAATAGTATTATTTTAAAATAAATGGGAATGGCTAACTTACTGATCTTTAAAAGACAAACATTATTAGACGAGATTACAAAGAAAATCCAACTATTTCTTATATAGAAGGCATACATGAACCCACCAAACAACTAATTGCTCTCAAATTGATTCCTACTCATCTCAGCCTTCCAGGACAAAGTAGAACTGCCCCATAGGGTCCTTGACTACCTCATCTTCCTCCCACAGAATGGCTGAAGGGTTCCAAATACCACAAAGCAAACGTTAACTGAATGTAACAGAGCTTTACTGATTTTGGCTGACTGTGCTGGGCTGTGTGATAGGGGGTCCTGTTGGATACCACTCACTTTTTGAGGAGTTAGCCTGGCAGCGAGCCCCACTGAGCAGCACCTTATCGAGACGACTGTTTTTCTGTAGTCACCATACTTCTGAGGTGTTCTGTGCGGAAACAGAGCAAACGTCTTTGAGAATTTTCTTGCTTTGTTGAATGAATACAAGTAGAATTGAAGGTGGAGCCTTGCAATGTATGTGGAAGCAGCTCAGTACCATGGGTATAATAAGTGCTTTTTGAAGCACATTTAAAAAAAAAAAAAGCACGTTAGTTGATGAGCGCTGTGTGAGGTACCCCAGAGGGAAACAGGAAAGATAAATAAGGGTAGTGGGAGAGAACAAACCAAGGCAGATAGGTTTATTTGCTAAGGAGTGGGCATACTGGGCCTCTGAGGAACATATTTCTTTTTTGGCTCAGTCTTGACAAGTGGAAAAATAAGTAGAGAAGATCTTTTTGGAGAAGATTCTTCCTCATATAGCTGAATCTTGAAGGAAGAATTGGAGATAATCATTGACCAAAGAGAGGACAGACTTGTTCCAAGTAGCAGAAACTTTGCCCCGAAGCCCCGGTTTTTAATGCTGAGTCAGTTCTGATCAGAATAAGTCTTGGTGACTAGAGAAGAACGACCTCCTGGAATTTTCGTGGAACCAGACTCTCCACTCTTTTAATTAGCAGCCATGTGTACTCAGAGACACCTAGTAAATATAGAGAAAAGAGATATTTGCAGTTTCTGGAGTATACAGTACTTGGGCCTGGAAAGGGGGGGGCAAAAATATAGAATGAGGAGTCCACATTTTAGTTTTAAAATAATTTTACAAATTTGTTGCTTAGATGATACTGAAGATTTAGGGAAGCGGTGAATAGCGAAAGCTCAAAAGTTCCTTGAATCTTAGGGACAAGTTAACTGTTGCTCAAGCTAGTTACGAAGCTAACTGTGGCAATGGTTCAGGTAGAGGTGAAGGGAAGCCCAGGTAGAACAGAATGATGGAGAAGAAAAGGGGGGATTAGGAGGCAAAATTTGTGGAATGTACACTTGATTGTGCTTATGTGACCTATCTTTGGATCAAGAGGCAGTTGTCAGAACAGAGCAAGGAGGCACTACATGGTTTAAAATTAGAAAGAGTGTATGCTAGGGATGTGTCCTATCTCCATACCTTCTCAACCTATATGCAGAACAGATCATCCAGAAGGCTGGGCTCTATGAGGAGAAATGTGGCATCAGGATTGGAGGAAGATTGATAACAACCTGTGTTATGCAGATGACACAACCCTGCTTGCTGAAACTGAGGACCTGAAGTGCTTGCTGCAGAGAGTTAAGGACTGCAGCCTTCAATATGGATTGAAGCTCATCATCAAGAAAACAAAGATTTGCACCGCTGGGCTGATTAGCAGCATCATAATGGACAGTGAAGAGATTAATATTGTTGACAGTTTTAGTTTGCTTGGCTCCACAATCAATACTCTTGGTACCAGCAGCTGGGAAATCAAAGATGAATTATTGCATTGGGAAAGTCTGCTGTCACGGACATCTCCAGAGTACTGAAGAGAAATGATGTTAGTCTGGGGACTAAGATGCACCTGATCCAGGCCATGGTTTCTGCATTTACTTGCTATGCATCAGAGAGCTGGACAGTGACTAGGGATGACGGAAGGAGAATTGATGTCTTTGAACTGTGGTGCTGGAGAACAGTGTTGAATAGACCATGGACTGTTAAGAGAACAAATAGGTTCATCATGGAGAGGGTTAAACCAGGCTACTCCTTGGAGGCAAGGCTTCTGAAGCTCCATCTGACATACTACGGGCATGTTGCAAGGAGGGAACAGTCCTTGGAGAGGAGCATTATGCTTGAGAGGGTGGAGGGACAGCGCAGGAGGGGAAGACCCTGGATGGGATAGATTGACTCAATGACTGGAGTAATGGAGGTGAGGGTGTTGGAGATGGTGAGGTTGTCACAGGATAGAGCAGAGTTCAGAGCTATTGTACATAGGGTCGCTGTGAGTCACAGGAGACTCGACAGCACATAACAACAGTGGTTGACCATCTGTAGTGACTGAAAGAAAGGAAGGACAAGAGAGCTCTGGTGGCCTAGTGGCAAGAAGCTGCAGTGCAATCCCAGAGGTATGCGGTTTGAATCCACCAGATGCTCTGCTGGAGAAGGAGGGGCAATCTCCTCCTGTACCAGTCAAACCTGATTTGACAATAGACACACACAAAAATAATTACACTAAAAGAATAGAAGGACAGTGGAGCGACAAGGCAGACACTGCTCACAAGGCATCAACAGCATCCTCCGTCTGTTGCTAGGATTTGTAGTGAAGCTTGTAAGGTTTCTTCTTGCTTTTGTACAGTGACTTGTAACACTGATTTACAGATGGAGCATGTCGTCCTCGGTACACTTATAGCGCTGGGATTTGGTTACATGTCTAGAAAGCTCGGTAATTACATAACAAAGAACATTTGCTTGTTACGAAAATGTTCTTCCTTGAGAAAATTTAATTTCAGATATCATGTCCCTGAAATCAGTTCACAGAAAAGGCGGTGACTATTTATAGCATCCTGCCTCCAAGGCTGACCTGGGTCTTAAGTTTACCCTCACTGCCTACAATGCCTAGAGGAGCAAATTTTGTCATTTCATCATTTAAAACAAGACTAATGTATTTTATTGTGTGATATAAGATGATAATTACTCTTAGTTTGTCGTTCTTACTTATTTAATGGGATGAGTTTTTCAAAAGCTACATAGACTATATTTCTGTTAAGGACTTGATTTACATGGCCCTGGTCACAGTGTGACTAGAACTATTATACATGATGGTCTTGAAACTTACGTCCTATCCGTTTGCTGAAGACAGAAAAGCAAGCAAACCAACCACCCCCACCAACAAAAAACACTTTCCAGTGTTCTGTTTTGGTTCAGTCAAATACAGAGCTGCCCACTTTCCCACTCGAGTTAAAGTAAAGTAGCCAATGTTAGTTGCTACCGAGTCTATTCTAACGAGGCCATTTCATTGGTGCAAAGTACAACAGTTTGCATGGGGTGTGTTATTCCATGGAATTCCATAAAGTTTCTGTAGAGTTCCCTTTCTAAGGCAGGTCACCACGTTTTTCTCCTGAGATGCTTTGGATGGCCCAGGTTCTCCTAAAGTCTTGACCACAGCCACTAAGTTGAAGCTACGTCACAGTGACCAGAAAGGACAGAGCAAAACCAGTCTCCCAAGCGGTAAACCTTGAAGAAAGCAGACTACCCATTTTTCTCCTGCACAGCAGCTGGTAGATTAGAACCAACGACTTTGTGATTAACGCTTGACCACTTTAACCACTGTACCACCAAAGGTCCTAAAGTGGATGATAAAAATTTTAAAAGTTGAAACTCAAGTCAAGGTGGCATCGGCACATAGCTTACTCTCTGTTGGGCTTCTGAGGCTGTGAATTACGTGGGGGAGATCGCCTTTCTTCCTCAGAGCCGTTGGGCCCCCAGAACAACTCTCTGGTTACTCACCATGTCACCATTAGGGGAGGTGAAATGCTTGTGAGTGGTCAATGATATTTGTTTACTTGAGGCAACTTCCACCAGAAGTGAGGTTGGTCAAACAAGTAACTGATGCCATTTTAAAACTAGCTTAATTTTCTCTCCATTCCTGAGTTAGTTTTTAAATAGAATTAAACAAACTGACATTTCCTTTGTAATTGTTTAAATAATAAGAAAAGCTTGAATAAAACTGTTGCTGTTGTGTATTATCATGCCAGAACGGACCCATAGCGGACCCTCCAGCGGGTTTTCAGAGGCAGTAAATTACAAGGGAGGAGATTGCCCATCTTTCTCCCATGGAGCAGCTGGTGGATTCAAACCGAGTACCTTTGCAATTCTGTACCACAATCTGTCTTAGAAAATATGCTACTGCATGATTTTAGAAAGCTGCTGTTATTGTTTCACTAAATCTTTAGCATCAACTATGCAGTAACTCTCTAAAGTTGCTTTAAAATGAGTGTTTAATGACTCAAACAGTTGCCTTGGAAAGTTAGCCCTATAGTAACTTTCATTGCAGCATTTTACTGTGGAACATTGTGAAGAGAAATGTACTCACTTCAAGCATTTATAAACACATCCATTAAAATGAAATAGAAGTCCCATTATGGAGTGGCCAGCACAATGCGATGACTACTATGGCTCTGTCTTCACAAGATGTAGAATTTGTCTGACTTGGATCCATACTCTTCATATATATAAAGTTTTATTAACAAATCTTTTGTCTTAGCAGTGACTTCAGGATTACCTTCACTACACAAGGTGTACTCTCATTATAACAGTCAGCAGATATCATTGTATTATCAAAGTGCCTAATTCAGACGGTATCACTGGCCTCTTAATGCCAAGTCCCAAGTCTTTCCTTATAAAAGGTAGCTTTATAAGGAGAGAATTTTATTCTTTTCACTCTTTGATGCTAAGTATAAGTACATTCTCAGGATACTTAAGTTTTGGTTTCAGGCAATCACAAAAAAGCAAAGATTGAAATAAAATGAGTCTCAAGAAATTTTTTTGTTTCCTAACTTACCCACTTCCTAAACCACATGCCTCTGGAAACTCTATAAACTTGGAGAAACAATGACAGCTGTGGAAGGGCATTAGATCTTTTGTTCATGGAGTCGCTATGAGTTGACCTCTAATCAATGGCAATCATAATCAACAACAACAACAACATATACTGCTAGGAGAACAAACAGGCTGCTCCTTGGAGGAAAGGAGTCTGTAGCTTCGTCTGACATACTTTGGACATGTTGCTAGGCAGGACCAGTCCTTGGAGAGGGACATTGTGCTTGGGAGGGTAGAAGGACAGCTCAGGAGAGGATGAGATGGATTGATTCAGTGACTGGGGTGATGGGAGTGGGTGTGTCAGTGACTATAAAATTGGCACAGGACAGAGCAGGATTTAGAGCTGTTGTATATAGGAGTCACTGTGAGTCGCAGGCGACTCGGCAGCACATAACAACAACATGGTTCAAATCCAACAGCTGTTTGATGGAGCAGGACAAGCAGTCTCCTACCACGTGATTTACTGCCTCTGATAACTCATTGGAGGGTCAGTAGCAGTTGACTCCGACTCAGCGACAAAACACCAACAACAATGTCCATTAAAGTTATGCTTTTCCCACACTGTAAGTCTATTATGTTTGCAGTGGCATTATGGAAATTTTGGGAGTTTGCTTTTGTTCTTAATTTTTGAATACTGTAACAATTACCAAAATAGGACACACAGATGCTCTGGATGGATCCATATTCTTGATGTAAAGAAGGTGTGCGGTTCTCAAGGCAGGTCCTGTCCTCAGACGAACGTGGACAACCAGCCACAGCTTCAGTGTTTGTTTTGATCAGTGTCTTTCCTTGACTTCTATTTGATCATGACCCTCACACATGCTACTGTGGGGCCTTGGACAAATAATTGGCGCTCCTTGAACTCCCAGTGCCTCTATTCCATGAAAAGGGAATGAGAAGAGAACTTGGGAAGATCAGATGAGGACGTTCCTGTAAAGTATAACTTGTACCTGAGCAAAATTTCAACCAGTATTAGAGTCAAGGATTAATATGGGAGCTCTGGGCTGTAGTCTGCAGGAAGTCTCACCTATAACATAAAGGTGGCACCTCTGCTGATTTCACTTCTCAGGAGAAAGATGGCCTGTCTCCTGCGTGATTTACATCCTTGGGAAATCCACTGGAGGCTTAGCTATGAGTCAGTTTCAACTTGATGGCAATGAATTTGTCTTAATATTGGGCAGACTGAAACTTCACCTTTTAAGTTATTTCATTTTTAAGTTTAAGCAAATGATAGTCCATGCCTACGACTCGATGGCACTTAACAACAACATAGAGAGAGCTCAGTGGGCCTAGTGGATAGAAAATGATGCTACCAGGCCAATGGTGGGTGACTTTAATCCACGGCTCTCAGGCCTGTTTTTAATTGGTTTTGGTCAAACATTCTTCTAGGTAAGATAGCCCTGGTCTGTCCACTTGCTGTACAGAGGTAAATTGTGGTTGCTGTGAAGCTGAACACTGTGACGCCGATGCATCTAATGTGATAATGGTTACCCTGGTGGACGGTGTTTGGTGGAGCTTCCCGATTAAAACAAGCCTGGAAGCAGGAATGGCATCCACTTCCAAAATAGCTTGACTCTGGAAACCCTGTGAACCTAGAGAAAGGATGAAAGTTATACAAGTGTTCAGGTCTTTCATCCTAGGGTCACTATGAGTCGCCTATGACTCGACGGCGTTTAACAACAACAAATGTCAAAAGGTGTTTAACAACAATAAATGTCAAAAATGAGTGAGATATGAGAATACGTCACATCTATTTCATGTATATTTGTTTTCTTCCTTTAGGCCAATAATATCAGAGAGAAACGAGCTTCTTGTTCAATTTTTGTCAGATCTAAGTTTAACTGCGGATGGATTTATTGGCCACTACAAATTCAGACCAAAAAAATTGCCCGCAACTACAGTACGACCTGTTACTACCACACCCCCTGTAACTTCAGGTGAGTTATCTGTTTTGAGGTTTTCACACAAAGGGAGGGAGAAAAATTACCTGAAATAGAAAAAAATTAACAGGAAAAGTCCCTGGATATATCTTCTATAAAAACATATATAAGTGAATAATATGATTCATTAATGGCAGAAGGTTTGAGTGGAAAGTATCTAGAAGCTAATAAATTTCAAATGTCACCTAAAAAATTAGTAAATCTATTTTAGATTTCTTCCCATTTGGCCGCCAGGGAGCTCTGGATAAAATGCTGCACTGTAATTCCGAAGGCAGGTAGTTCAAATGCAGGACCTGCTCTGCGGGAGAAAGATGAGCAGTCTCTTCCTGTGCGATTAACTTCCTCTGAAAACCTGCCAGAGGGTCAGCTGTGGGTTTGTTCCAACATGATGGTACACAGCAACAATAACAACAGTACATGCAAAGCGTACTTTTTTTCTGGCAGTAGGAAAATTATTTATTTTCATTACAAAGACTCATACTACTTTAGGTTCAAGTTCTAGGATCTCGATGTTTGACTGTTTTACGCATTTGCTAATTAATATTCTAGACTTTTCCCTCTTCTTCCCAAAATGTGTCATAATAAGATCTGTTATACTTTAAATTTAGAGTAAATAATAGAAAAATATACTTCAGGAAGACATATGCCTCGAAGCAAACCAATCCCAGCCTTTCTTACTGCAAAAGTCATTTGGGAATCTCTGGCTGGGGAATTGGAATTGGAGAGGTGGAAGTGGATCCTCAAATCCAACCTACATCCTGTCAGCCCCTGAGATTCAGTCCTCAGAGGTGAAAGTGCTTATAATAGAAAGAAAAATAGAAAGTAAAGATGTAAGGTATAAGTTACAAGTTCTAGCTTATCTAAGGATTGGTTGCCCAGCTTTTTGACTCATCATTTCTCTGCTTGCACCTTGGTTGGGTTGCACTGAGTACAGATCTTTCTGGAAGGGCAGGTTTCTGAGCGCTCCACAAGAGTGCCACCTGGTGGCTTGGACGTGTACTGCCTCATTACCTCTCGCCGGCTCATCATCCACTCATCCATTTCTCTCCAGTGAATTACCTATCTCGTTGCACTTAAACTGCAAATTTTTCCCCAGCTTTCACCTCTGCACATAAATGTTCTTTGAGACTGAAGGCCCGAATTTGTGATTATTCAAAAATTTGTGATTGTGAAATGTTTCACTAAAATAATATACACCTCTTTTTCTGGTCACAATGTTAACTGCCTCAAACCTGTGTCTCCACTTCTTTTACAAGTTATGGACCACATGACCAGTAGCCTCACCCTCCAGATCATCTTTGACTTCTTCTGACTGACTTCCTCACTGCATACCCTTCACCACCCTCCCACAGATTAAACTAGGCGGTATTCCCTCGTGCTCTGGACATGTTGCAAGGAAGGACCAGTCCTTGGAGAGGGACATCATGGTTGGGAGGATGGAAGGATAGTGCAAGAGAGGAAGACCCCAGATGAGATGGATTGATATAGTAACTAGGGTATTGGGGAGGGGGTAAGTGTGTCAGTGGCAATAAGACAGGCACAGGATAGAGCAGGGTGTAGGACTGTTGTACATAGGGTCACTATTAGTCTCAGGCAACTTGATGCACTTAACAACAATGAATTTAGCATCCAACAATGGTGACCGCAATTGATGACTTGAAATGTGGGTAGCGATACTGAGGAACTGAATTTTGTCTTTCATTTTAATTCACTGAAATAGCCTCATGTCATATCATCTCAGACAGCACAGGAGCCCCGACTCCTTCATATGATCTTCATGCTTCAGAAAACCTGCACACATTGGTTCTAGACTTTTGTTTCATTTTCAGTCTCTGTTGCCTCTTTCCTTATGCTCTAAGCGTTTTGGTTTTTATCTCTAAGTGTGGGCAATGTTGCTGATCAACTTAGGTGAAGGTGAAGATCAGCTTTGTGGTTTACAAAGGTCACCCTGGCCACAGGGTGAAGGTCAGCAGGTTCTTGTTGCCATCCAGAGAACTGTTCCAGAGCAGAAATACAGAGATAACCGAGCAGTGAATGGGAGCTGCTGATGGGCCATCATGACTAATTGCATTAGGGAGGTCAAGGGAGTGTCACTGTGGCTTCCAAACCCCTGACTTGCACAACTAGGGGCCTAGTGTTACCATTCACTAAGGTGGAGAACTGGGTTTAGAAGTGCATCCATGAGTTCAGCCGTGACCATGTTATATTTGAAGTATCTGTGAGGCAGTCAAGAGCAGATGTTGTGCAGGCGATTAGCTATATGGGCCTGTAGGCCAGAAGAGAAATTTCAGCAATATGTATCAATGAAAACGTCATCGGCATACCGATGGTAATTGAAACAATGATTCAAAAGGAGATTGCCTAGGAAGCATTTGGGGATAAAAGGAAAACTAGACCTCAAGAAATTTGCTACTTAGGATTCTAGGCAGCTAAAGAAGATTGAGCAGAGTGACTTGGAAGAAGAAGGGAGACCAGCAGGATGGGACGGGCTTCCGATCTGTTGTTCATGGGATCGCTGTGGGTCATACTCGGCTTGACAGCACCTGCAAGAGAAGGACCAAAGTGCTTCCATTTGATTCAGTGGTGAGGAAACTCCTGAAGACTCCAGCAAGCATTGCATGAGCTGTTGTTCAGTCCCAGTCTAGATAGAGTGGACGACAGGTGGGCAGAACTGGCCGAAGGGACTGGGATAGTTAATATTTGCAATCGGGCCTTAAAGGAGGGAGACAGGCTATGAGTCTCACTAATCCTGATGGGAAGTAGATAGCAAAGAAGGTGAACACATGGCCGAGAGAAGGTATGAGGTGATAAAATCTGTTTCTTCCCAAGGACTCACAGGAAGGTTGGCCTTAGAACTGAGGCATCCTTCTCTCTCAGGAAGGAAAGGGAGGAGGGACACGTAAAGTTAGGTGAGAGTTTTGATGTTTCTTTACCCTCTTGACATTAGGCAGGGTTGCTTGCTGAGATTGAGAAGGAAGGTAGTTTATTGTTGTTGTTATGTGCCATTGGGTCACCTGTATCCCATAGTGACCCTGTGTACAGCTCTGAACCCTGCCCTGTCCTGAACCGGTCTCACTGACTGACACACCTACCCCCATTACCCCAGTTACTGTGTCAGTCTATCTTATCCAGGGTCTCCCTCTCTTGCATTGTCCCTCCACCCTTCTGAGTATGATGTCCTTCTCCAGTGATTGGTCCCTCCTGGCCACATGGCTAAAGTATGTGACACAGAGCTTCAGAATCCTAACCTCCAATGAAAGTCTTCGTTTCACCCTCTCCAAGACAGACCTATTTGTTTCCTTGACATTTCCTGGCATATTCAAGACTCCTCTCCAGCATCACAACTCAAAGGCATCGATTCTTCTTCTCTCATCGTTAGTCACTGTCCAGCTCTCTGATGCGTAACAAGTAATTGCAAAGACCATGGCCTGGATCAGGCACACCTTAGCTCTAGACTGGCATCTGGAGGAAAATGAAAAAGACTTGAAAATGTCTGTGGAACATGGGAAAGTGAGTTGATCTGTAAACTAGCCAGTCTCTTTGATGAGGGTCCAGTGAGTATTCAGTTCTCTGGATCCAGGGGGAAATGGAGCTATAAACCAGGCTGGAATTTTACTAGTCAAAAACTCCAGAAGAACAGCGGGAGAAAGGGCATTTAAAGCTATTGTCAAGAAAATAATTGAAACACTGTACCGTAGGGACGAAGTGGGATGGCTGAGGATGAAAATGGATTCAGAAAAGTGTGGGGTTAATGTGTTGGGTCTACAATGATTGGAAAGCAAAGTAGTTACAAAAATGATTACGTGAACAAGCTTGAAAGATGGGTAACTCTAGCAGAGTGGTTGAGAATTTGGTGATGAAATATTTTAACACGGGAACATTTGAGCACAGAACCGAGTCTCTGAGGGGACCTGAGTTGTGTGATGACATCAAGGACATTATCCATGAAGAATGCAAAGGCCATTAAAAAGGTAGAGGAGAAAGAAAAGTCCAGAATGGATTTCTGAAGCTTGCACCAGAACGTAGAGAGGCCAAAACTAAGAGGAGAAATGCTGAAGAAGAGATGAGAAGATTTCAAAGGGCAGCTTGCAAAGACAAAGTGCTGTAATAAAATGTGCAAAGAACTGGAGTTAGAAAACCAAAAGTTTATCTAGCTGAAAGAACTGAAGAACTAATTCAAGCCTTGAGTTGCAATTTTGGAGGATTTCATGGGCAAAATCTTGAATGATGCATCAAAAGAAGAATGAAAGAATCTCAAGAGTCACAGAACCACAAACTCTTGGCTGATAGAGAATCTTGCCAGGAAGTAGCATGTGATCAAGAATCGGTGATAACGGAGGAAGAGGTTCAGGCTGCACTGAAAGCATTCACAAAAAATAAGACCCGAAAGATTGATGGAATACCAAGTGACATGTCTGAACTAACAGATACAGCCCTGAAGATGCTCACTAATCTCTGCCAACAAATTGACTGGAAGAGATCCATATTTTTTCCCATTCCCAAAATAAGTAATCCAGTAGAATGAGGAAAATACTGAACAACATTGAAACTGTCAACAACTTCCTCTTGCTTGGATCCATAATTAACATCCTTGGTACTAGCAGTCAGCAAATACGTAGACACATTGCAGTGGGAAAGTCTGCAGTTAGGGACCTCTCCAAATTATTGAGGAGTAGTGATGTCAGTTTGAGGACTAAGATGTGTCTGATTCAGGCCATGGTCTTTCCGATCACTTGCTATGCATCTGAGAGCTGGACAATGAATAAGGATGACAGAGGGGAATTGATGCCTTTGAGCTGTGGTGTTGGAGAATCCCATGGATGGCCAAAAAAACAAATATATCTTGGAGAGGGTGCAGCCAGAGTGCTCTTTGGCGGCAACAATGATGAAGCCTCACATACTTTGGGCATGTTGTTCGGAGGGGCTATTCCTTGGAGAAGGACGTGATTCTGAGAAGGGTGTAGGATCAGTGAGGGAGAGGAAGACTCTCGGCCAGGTGGTTTGATGCAGAGACTACCACAGTGGGCTCTTGTGTATTAGGAAGTGAGGATGGTGCAGGATAAAATGGTTCAGATCTTCTGTTCATAGGGTTTCTGTGAATTGTACTTGACTCGATGGCACCTAACAACAACAATCATTAAAACCTTGCTGAAAATTATTAAAAAACCAATTGAAAACAAGTAAAATCTTGCTGAAAATTATTATTTTTTTAAAAAAAAAAAAAGACCAACTGAAACAGTAATTACATTGACAGGGAACTACCAGGAATTCAAGCTGAGTTGAGAAGAGGCTGTGGTGGGAAGGATATCGTTGCTGATGTCAGATGGATCTTGACTGAATGCAGAGAATACCAGGAAGAGATTTACCTGTGTCTTATTGACTGCAATGGTGTTTGTGTGAATCATAATGAAGTAGGGATAATAACATTGAGAAGAATGAGAATCTCTGAACTCTTAAGTGTGCTCATGAGAGTTTGACTGATAGTGACCTCACATGGCTGTAGAATTGCCCTCTAGGGTTTTCTAGATTGCAGTCTTTGTAAGAAGGCATCCTCATGGTGTAGTGGTTAAGCACTTTGCTACTAACCTGGAGGTCAGCAGTTGGAATCCACTAGCTGCCCTGCAGGAGACAAAGGAGACTGATTCTGTAAAAATTACAGCCTTGGAGTGGACTTGGGGGTGGGGATGAATTGCATAACAACGAAAGAGTTTTTCTTTTACTTTTCAAGGAGAAGAGTGAATTGGGGGGGGAGGGGATGGTTGGGCAGGGGGCAAAGTGCAACAATGAATGATTGGAAACCGTTAAATCTCTGTAAACTTTCATGAAACTTAATTGAAAAAAACAAAATTACAGCCTTGAAGATGCTGTGCGGGCAGTTCTACTCTGTCCTGTAGGGGTCAACGTTAGCCAGAATCAACTTGATGACAAAGGCTTTGCTTTTTTAAGTCTTTTTTAATTCATTGCATGTTGTTTTGTTTTATTTTGTTTTTATTATTATTCATTTTCCTGAAAGCATACAGAGACTTTGGATTTCCATACATTCATTGTTGCACTTTTCTCCCTGCCTACCCCCTCCTCATCCAGTTCACTCTTCTCTTTGAAAAGTAAAAGAAAAATTCTTTCATTGTTGTACAATTCCTCCCCACAAGTCCACTCCACTATGCTGCCTTTGTTCTGGACTCCTGTCATGACAATAATACCTAGTAGTATATCCCTTTAAAACAGTTTTCTTCCTCATCTGTTTCAATGCAGTATACATAATTTATCCCATTTTTCTCAGTCTCCGCCCAAACCTGATGTCAGTCCTGTTTTACAGCAGTGGCACTATGCAGCATCTGTCCTTTTGTGATCGAGATATTTCACTCAGCATAATGTCCTCTAGGGTCACCCAGTTTGTATAATATTGCATGAGTTCCTTTTTTTCAGTGCACCGTAGTATTCCATTGTGTGAAAATACCACAGCTTCTCTAGCCATCCCTTTGTTGATGGACACTTGGGTTGTTTCCAACTTTTTGCTATTGTGAACAAAGCCACAATAAACATTGGCGTGCATATATATGCTTGAGTGGCAGTTATGGTTTCTTTAGGGTATATTCCCAGTAGAGGAATTGCTGGGTCAAATGGTATTTCTATTTGCAACTTTTTGAGAAAACGCCGTACTGCCTTCCACAGTGGTTGCACCATTTTACACTTCCACCAGCAGTGAATAAGGATTCCAGTTTCTCCACAGTCTCTCCAGCATGTGTTGTTTGCTGTTCTGTTAAATTTTGCTATTCTTACTGGGGTGAGATGATATCTCCTAGTTGTTTTTATTTGCATCTCTCTTAGAGCTAGGGATTTTGAACATGTCTCCAAGTGTTTGTTTGCCATCTGAATGTCTTCTTTGGTGAAGTGTTTGTTCATATCCTGTGCCCACTTTTCAGCTGGGTTATTTACCTTTATCTTGTTGTGGTGCTCGAGTATTTTATAAATTCTAGATACAAGTCCCTTATCTGACATGTAATTAGCAAATACTCTTTCCCAGTCGATGGCTTCCCTTGGCAGCAGCTCTCTAGATCATTCTCCCACAGAACTGCTGGGTGACTTCAAATCACCAGCCTTTCAATTAACAGCCAACTACTTAACCATTGCACCACTAGGGGTCCACAATCAGCACCCGTGATACCAGCAGTCAGGAGAAAAGAAGATATATTGCTTTGGGCAAGTCAGCTGTCAGGGACCTCCAAAATACTGAAGAGCAATGATGTCAGTTTGAAGACTAAGGTGTCCCTGATTCAGTCCATGGTCTTTTCCATTACTTGCTGTGCATCTGAGAGCAGGACAATGAATACAGATGACAGAAGAGTTATTGATGCCTTTGGGTTGTGGTGTTGGAGTAGAGTACTGATTATCCCATGGACTGCTAAATAAATGAGCAGGTATGTCTTAGGAAAGATGTGGCCAGAGTGCACCTTGGAGGCAAGGATGGTGAAGCTTCGTCTCTCAGACTTTGGATATATATTCCAGGAGAGACTGTTCCTTGGAAAGAGATATCATGCTTGGAAGGGTGTAGGGTCAATGAAAGAGACGCAGACCCCCAGTGAGATGGATTGACATGGTGACTGCAGCCAAGGTCTCAAGTGTTCACAGGGTCACTGTGAGTCGTGCTTGACTTCACCGCACCTAACAAAAACAACAACATTCACTTATCGCTGATGCTTCAGGAGTTCAAGTTCAAGTTAGAACTCAACACTTGACCATAGCTGACCAGTGGGTTTTCAGAGGCCGTTAATTACATGGGAGGAGATTGCCCATCTTTCTCTTAAGGAGTAAGCTGATGGATTCAAACCATGAGGCTTCACTTTGGTAGTTCAGTTCTTTACTGCTAAACCGCCAGAGAGGTGGCCTAGTGGCAAGAAGCTGTGCTGCAATCCCGAAGGCAGGTGATTCAAACCCACCAGCTGCTCCGCTGGCGAAGGATGGACAGTGTCCTTCCGTGGAATCACCTGCCTCTGAAAACGCACTGGAGGGTCAGCTGTGGGTCAGTTCTGACTCAACAGTACTCAACAGCAAACGGTGCAGGAGGATATGGTTCATCCCCCCCCCACTGGGCAGCTGGTGGATTCAGACTGCCGTAGAGACATCACTTTGGGGTTGGCAGTGCGACTACCCACGAAACCACCAGATGGTAACAAGGATGAAGTAGTTTACCTGGCTGATCCATAGGTTCTTAACCTCTAATATTCAGAGCTGGATAATGCTCAGTGGTGGGGGATTGCCCTGTGCATGGGCGTCGTTGATACCCATCCCTGCCCTCCACCCACTGGATTCCAGTAGCATCCCTCCTACCTCATTCCCTAGTTTTGACAACCAAGAAGTCCTTCATTCTTTTCCAAAGAAAAAATCAGCCCCGGTTGAAAACCACTATGTTAATCTGTTTGGTTTTGCTTTTTACGATGCTTACAGCAAGTGCCAAGCCTGAAATATTTAATGACGAGTTGTATTAAGTCTGTTGTTGTTATGTGTTGTCAAGTCACCTGTGCCTTATAGCGACCCTATGTACAATAATAGCCCTAAGCCCTGCTCTATCCTGTGGCAATCTTATTGTCTTTGGCACATCTACCCTCATTACCCTAGTCTGAGTCAATCCATCTCATTAGGGGTCTTCATCTCTTTCTCCGTCCCTCCACCCTCCCAAGCATGACGTCCCTCTCCAAGGACTAGTCTCTCCTTGCAACACGTCCACAGAATGTCAGAGGAAGCTTCAGAATCCTTGCCTCCAAGGAGCAGCCTGGTCTCACCCTCTCTAGGACGAACCTTGTTTGTTCTCCTAGCAGTCCATGGTATATTCAGTCCTCTTCTTCAACACCACAGCTCAAAGGCAGCAATTCTCCTTCTATCATCCCTAGTTGTTGTCCAGCTTTCTGATGTATAGCAAGTAATTGCAAAGACTATGGCCTAGATCAGGTGCACCTTGGGCTCCAGATTGACATCATTGCTCTTTAGTTCTTTGAGTGAGCCTAGTTTCCAAAAACCTGTACTTCGAGAATTTGGGCAATTGAATCACATTTTAAATGCACCAGTGATCTCAGAGAGTCTTCCTATTCCTAGAACTCTTTTTTTAAAGTGAGAAATTACCTTTATTTTCTGAATTCAGATGTCTCATCCTGGGTTTTTCTAAACCTGGCACACATGAGTCTATTTTGGGGTATAGTGTTAGTTATGTATGAAGGAAGACGAGAACAGGGCTAAATATAGATTATCTTTGATCTCGGGTTTGAAATTCCCTGGAGGATATTAAGTTGCCCTGAGCAAATTAGAGCAGTGGTTGATAGCGTGAAGAATTTCTTTTGCGTGCTTTTTAATGATTGCATCGCAATGACAGATGGGTGGCTCAGGGAAATTGATGGGAATTTGAAATTGATAGTGTCTGATTAAAACACTAATTACATTTTAATTCATTGTCTTGATTCTTTTGTCTTTCCTCTGTTGAATTAAGGTGTAAAACCTACTGTGGCCCTGTGTCAACAGAAGTGTAGGCGAACTGGGACTCTGGAGAGCAATTACTGTTCGAGTGACTTTGGTAAGAAATAAAAGCCAGCCTTTTCTCCTTAATCAGAAATTTGAGACTGCATGCTTAGTCTCCAGGGAATGGCCATGAATTTCACAGTACAGGGGCAGTAGCCCTGCCTGCTTATTGACCCAGGGAAATATTTTCTTGCACACCAACATGTGTTAACTTGTGTTGTTAAAATAATTTGCTTTCACAGCGGAAAAAAGTAGATATGGAAAATATGCTCCCTGGGCTATTTTCATATGAACATAATTAATTTGATTCCCAGGATGCATGAAATTGTTTTTCTGTGTATTCTGGCTGCCTGGGTTTTTCTGAAAAACAAACAGAAACCCTGTTTTGCTTTTCTTTCTCATGTGTCTTTTCATGTACTGACTTTCACACATCTGTAATTCATCTTAAGTAAATTAGAAATGTATCTAGATTACATGCTGAAGCTGATTTCGCAGAGAAGAAATGAAAATATTTTCTCCGTAATGTCTTTCCCAAAGAACCAAAGTATAGTCACACAGAAATTTGTCTTGGAAACCTGACATCTCTTTGGGACCATTTATATTCTGGAACCTGAGGGGATAAATATTTAATGATTTAGAATTTTCAAGGGCTTTTTTTCCTTAGGAAGCTCTGGTGGTCCTAGTGGTAAGAAACTGCACCACCATCCCAAAGGCATGTGGTTCAAATCCACCATCTGCTTTACAGGAGAAGGATGGGCAGTGTCCTCCCGTGTGATTAACCGCCTCTGAAAACCCACTGGAGGGTCAGCTCTGAGTTGGTTCCAGCCCAGTGATACACAGCAACAATAAAAACAAGTATTTTTCCCTATTTGTTTTTTAATGTGCCCTCTGTGGAAACATTTCAAAGCAAAGTATACTCAGTTGAATTCTGTGAATTATCTTTTTATTTTATTTTATTTTTTAATAATTTTAATGAACATTTACAGGGAATTTGGATTTCCATTCATTCATTGCTGCACTTCTCTCCCCGCTCAGCCCTCTCCCCCCGCCCCCTAGTTCGCTCCTCTCTTTCAAAAGTAAAAGAAAGACTCCCTCCCTGGTACACAATCCCTCCGCACCTCTCCCACCGCCCCAAGTACATTCCACTATGCAACCTTAATTGTGGACTCTTGTGATTACCATAATACCCTATCATACATCGCTTTTAAATTATTCAGTCCCTCATCTGTTTCAGTGCAGTATACACAATTTATCCGGTTTTTCTCAGTCTTACCCCCACCCTGATATCAGTCCTGTTTTACAGCAGTGGCACCATGCAATATTTGTCCTTTTGCGACTGAGATATTTCACTCAGCATAATGTCCTCCAGGCTCACCCATTTTGAATAATATTGAATGAGTTCCTTGTTTTTCAATGCAGTATAGTATTCCATTGTGTGAATATACCACAGCTTCTCTACCTATTCGTTGGATTATCTTTTTTTTTTTTAAAAAAAAAAGCTTTAAAAAAAGCATTATGAAAAAGTCTTATTAGTGAAAGAAAGTTGCTGAATGGAAATCCAAATTTTCTGGAAACTTTCATTAAAATATCAATAAAAAATAATAGTAACAACAAAAAGAGAAAGTTGCCACAACCTAACTGTTGTTGTTGTGTATCATTAAGTGGGAACTGACCCCTGACCCTCCCGCGGTTTTCAGAGGTTTAATCACATGGAAGGAGACTGCTCATCCTTCTTCCACAGAGCAGCTCGCGGATTCAAACCTTGTGCTTTCGGGATTGCAACGCAGCTTCTTGCCAGTAGGGCCACCAGTGCTCCCTGCAACCTAATTACACATCCCCAGAATCAAGCCCACTGTTGCGGAGTTGATTCTGACACATCATGACAACCTTCTGTGATGTTTCCAAGGCTGTAAATCTTAGTGGGAGCAGACTGGCCCATCTCTCCCCAGAGTAACTGTCACTGTTATGTGCCAGCAAATTGGTGAGTTTTCACAGGAAGAGATTGTCCGTCTTTTGCCTTCAAAGCAACTAGTAGATTTGAGCCATGTGCCTTCCGGTGGTACAACTACTTACCACTCAGCCACCAGAGCTCCCAACAGAATGACGAGCGGATTTGAATTCCAGTCCTTTGGTTGCTATGTGTTATGTACCGAGCAGTGAGAATCGACTGATAGCGGACCCTCCATCAGCTTTTCAGAGGCAGTTAATCACATGGGACAAGTTGACCCGTCTTCGGCCTTGAATTTGGCCACTCAGCTCCTTGCCAGTCAGCCACCGGAGCAACCTGATCTTTGGCATTTAAACACCGATGTGGGAATGGTTTATTTTTAGGGAGCTTTGGTGGCCAAGTGGGTGAGGTCAACTCAAGGACTCGTGGTTCACATCCTCCAGCTGCTCCAAAGGACAAAAATGGGCAATCTCCTCTTCTTTTCTTTTTTAAAATTGTTATTATATTAGTTTATTAACAAAATTTGAATGCCTTGTTTTCCAGAACAGATTTTCCCCATTTCCCTCACTCGCCCACCCATCAAATTGTACAACCCCATGATTAATCCCTCCCCCGCACATCCTCAGCCCTCTGCTTCCACCCTCCCCCCACCTTGGATCCTTATACTCATTCTACAATAATGGTTTTATACGGTATCTGTCTTTGTGGGACTGAGTCAGTTTACTCAGCATAATGCTCTCCAGTCCCTCCCAAGTGAGGCACTAATTTACAAAATTATTGCTCCTGCGTGCTGTGTAGTATTCCATTGTGTGAATGTACCGTAATTTGTCAATCCATTTGTGGTTGGACATCTGGGCTGTTTCCATGTTCTTGTGATGGGGAATAACACTGCTGTGAATGCTGGTGTGCAAGTCTCTGTTTGTGTGTCAGTTCTCATTTTCTCGGGGTATATTCCAAGCAGAGGAATATCTCCTCTTGTGTGATTTTCTGCCTTTGAAATCCCTTTGCAGGATCAGCTATCAGTCAATTCTGATTCGACAGCACATACAGCCAACTTCTGGTTAGCAGCCCAGTATGTAATTCACTGTGCCACTTGGGATTCTCACAGCTTTTTACGCTAATTACAAAGGGCCTTGCCTGGAGAAGTCTGATTGTTTTCTCTCTTGAAGTAGCTAGAAATCTTAGCTGTGTTTGCATGCTGAGATTCAAATAACTGGCATATAAACCACAAACAAATTGGATAAGGTGCCACATCCGGTTTAAAATCTTCTGTAGGAAGTGTTTCAGGAACACCGTTTGCCCAACAAAAACCCCTGAAGGCAAAAAGGGGAAGGATAGAAGGATTGATGGAATTGAGAGTTACAGGGATCAAGTGGAAAATGTGCAGTGCTAGAAAACATAATGGGTGTCTGAATGTGTGAATGAAAAACTGATTTGCTTTGTAAGCTTGCACTCAAATCACAATAAAAATATGTGAACAAGAAGGAAGACTTTAATCAGAGCAAAACAAGTATCCAAGAGAGGGCCACAGGTTCAAGAAGAAATGAAAATAGAGGGAGAATAGATTTGAAACAGATGATAGATATTAACCCACAAGACACAGGAACATAGATTTCAGTGGCTCAAGTGCTTCATGTATCTGTCAATATATTTTAGTGTAGTAATATTGCCTCTCAAGATTACTATTACTATTTATTATTTCATATTCACAGCCGGAGGTTCACAATGTTGTCTCTGCTTTGATAATTGTTCCTTATTTATAATTCAACATTCTGCAGAGTCTTCTCAGCAACAGGTTGATTCAAAAAGAGCAAGGGACATGAAGGAACGGCCATATCTGACTTTTACCAACTCCTTGATGGGGAACTGTCCATCAGCAACACAAAACCAATTCCTGTGAAGTCAGATATGACTCCCACGTTCCTGCACCTATTTCTACTTGCTCGTGCCAACACCAATCTTACCTTTACTTTGTTGTTGTTAATTGCCATTGAGTCAAGCACAAATCATAGCAACCCTACGAACAAAAGTCCTGAAGCCCTCCTATAATTATCGTCATTTATAGAAGAAGTTCATAGAGTTTCCAGAGGCATGTTGTTTAGGAAGTGGATGCCACTCCTGCTTCACTTTATTGGGTCCAACAGTTGTTGTGACAGCTCACATAGACCCATAGAGGGGAAGTCAAAGCTATTATTCAGATTAGTAACAGATACCCTCGCTCAGTCAGGACAGCTTCTGAAATGTGCTCACAGGTACCTCAGACTTCAGTCTCATGAATCTAGGCTCTTGTTGTTGTATATTGTCAAGTCAGAACTGACCCTGCAGAGGGTTTTCAGAAGCCGTTAACTGCATGGGAGGAGACTGCCTATCTTTCTCCCTCAGAGCAGCTGATGGGTTCAGATCACATACCTTTGGGTTGCCAGCGTAATTTCTTGCCACAGAGCCACCAGAGATTGTTTCGTCCTACCAATTATGGCTCTCCCCTCCTCTGTCTCCACTCTTCCAACAAATTTTGGCAAAGGCTCTTATCTCTGGGTCGGTGGCTTAGCGTCCCAAGGTCTGCGCTGTCTCATGCCAGGTCTCTGGTTCTCCGCTCTGGCTCCTATGTTGTTGCTCCCATAGGCCCTGGTCTGGCTGGTTCAAAGATCTCTAGCCCTGAAGGACATACTGTGTTCTCTTGCTGCTTCTTTGCTGCTGGTGAGATTCTGCTTCAGTTTAATAGCAAGACTAGCCAGTCTCCTGTGGATGGACTCACACACTCTTCGCATATTCCCACACATCCATCTGGCAAAGTCAAAGTCAATGGGTAGGAAAGCCATTCTGAATAATAACCCCTTCATACCACAACTACAATGTGGTAGATAGTTAGTTTCCTCTTCTAGGTTCCAACACCTAACAACTAGGTAATGGTACAGCCCTTTAGCGCCCTTTAAAAAAAAATTAATTGGTACTTTAACTAAAGTTTACAGAAAAGTTGGATTTTCATTCATTCATAACTGTACATTTTCTCCCTCCCCCTTCTTCCCCCTCCCCTTTCTTTTTTGTAATATTCTTTCATTGTTGCAAAATTTCCTCCCTCCTCCCCCTTCCCCGCACCCTTCCCCAGTCCTTTTTGCTATGTCCTTCCTATTCTGGACAGTTGTCTAGCCCCTTTTTCCAGCCTGCATTTTCATGACAAATGTACAGGATCGAATTTGAGAACTCTATTAGAGCCTTTTCTTTAACTTTACAATTTGTCATATCTGAAAAGTAGAAGAGTAGAAAAATGGGGGATTTTTTAGCGCTGCTTATAATTTACCTTCACTATACCAGTTGTCGCTGTTGTTGTTGTTGTTGTGTACTGTCAAGCTGGACCTGACTCATCGCTAACCCCCCAGTGGGCTTTTGGAGGCAGTTAACCGCATGGGAAGAGATTATTGCCCACAGTTGTTTTTCGTAAATGTTTTCTTCTCCAGTGTTGGCTGGCACTGTGATTACAACAGTCACTCGAGGTGGGAGCCTCCATGCCACGGTCTCGATCATCAACATCTACAAAGAGGGGAATCTAGCAATTCAGCAGGCGGGCAAGAGCATGAGTACCAAGGTCATCGTGGTCTGCAAGCAGTGCCCGCTCCTCAGAAGAGGTGAGCAGGGAGGAAACCTTGGTCCTTTGCCCAGGAGACCTCAGGGACAGAGAAGGCACAATTCAGGAGGCACATGGAGGACCTTTCCGTGTCATGGCTGCTCTGTTGTTGTGTCACATCAAGTTGGTTCCGATGCCTAGTGATCCTGTAGCATAAAACAGAAGTGACTCAGAGGCTTTCCAAAGCCGTCTCTGTTTTTTAGAAGTAGACTGTCATATCCTTTCCCCATGGAGCCGCTGGTGAGTTCAACTCATAAACCTGTTGGTTGGGGGAAAGAACTTACCCACCGCGCCCCAAGGTTCCTAACCAGCCCTCTCACAAAGTGAACTCAGCACTTACCTGTTGGCCATTCCTGGTATTGATGTGAGTAGAACTGAGCTGGAATCCTAGTTCTTGATTCTTTGGATGAACCAGGATGAAGGACTTCAAGAATCATGGATCAATAGGGAAAAGACGCAGAAGGAGCAGTTTAAGGGAAAGAGATTTTTTTAAACAGTTGCAGTTAAAATGCCGCTGCCACATTGAGAGGAAAATTCCCAGAAGGCAAGAGAAAAAGCATAGCTGAGGTTCACAGAGAGCATTGCTCTGGAAGGCGCCCAGTAATTACACTGGACTCCAGAGCTGGACAGAGACCCAGATACCACGTTGTCCTGGGCCTTGTGTTGGCAGAAGTTCAGTATGATATTGAGATGAATTTAGTTCTTGGTTGGTCACAGCCTTACGTAAGATTTTCATCTAGATAGCGCAAATGTATACTTATGCCATTTATAGAACAGTTATTCAGAAGTAAGTGAATAGTCTTAAGTGGTGTCAACACAATACACAAACATTTTCATTTTATATTCTTTCTCTTTAGGTCAAAATTATATTATTATGGGCCAAGTGGGTGAAGACGGGAGAGGCAGAATCATGCCCAGTAGCTATATCCTGATGTTCAAGACCAAGAACCAGAAGCTCCTGCATGCCTTGAAAACCAAGCAATGTTAACAGAGAACTCTGAGAGGTTACGCTGCATTCCACATTATCTTTGAAAGGTCTAGTTTCTCTGCATAGGGAAAAACCTCAAGAAACAAACCTTATGAAATGAAATATTGGGCATTCCAGTGATCAGACTGGTTTGCTCTCCACCTGATGTAGCTACGAGGTCCTCAGTTATCTCTGAAGAAGTCAGCCTGTGCACCCAAAGGATATATATATAGGAGACCTGTGTGCTTTAGTGCAGTAACAAGAAACAATACGTGTCAAGCACAGACAGCTTGGAAGCCTTTTATTTATATGTGCCTATGGAAGGGGTTTTGGGAAAATGATTTGTGTGAAGATGTGAACAAAAGATTCTTTTTTATAGGTGCAATATTTATAATATGCGTTGTACCTTTAAACATCTGTGCTGAAGTGTTAACATTCTTCTCTTGCATTCTTAAAAATCAGTGCTTAATAAAATATTTTTAAATGATTACATACCAGTCAGTCATTAAACGTGTTATTCAAGAAGGTGGAACATTATCACAAAGAATACAAGCAAAAAAGCCAAAGCAGTTACTTTTGAGTGAACTCCACTTTATGGCATGGCCCCATATATGACAGACTAGGACTACATTCCCTGGGTTTTCAATGCAGAGTCTCAGGCCTTTCTTTGGAGTTGCTTCTGGGAGGGCTCGAACTGTCAATACTTTGGTTTCTATCATACGCTTAACCTGGCAACTCAGAAAAGAAAAATCAGACCAATAAACCAAATCTACTGCTACCAAATCACCGTGACTCGAAGCGACCCTCCATTGTGTTTCTGAAGTTCCAGATCTTGATGGCAGAAGCCTGCACATTCTTCTCCAGGACGAAGCTGGTGGATTTAAATTAACCACGTTGGTTAGCAGGTACTGCACTATATCACCGGGGCCTCTAAAATAAAAGAGTATCCCCTTTGACTGGCATAAAAGAATGGCTTTGTATTATCTGGCCCTTTGCTAAAAGAATTGGTAATTCTGAGAATTTCCAGGACTAAACGAGCCTAATAGTGTAATTAGACTTTAATGCTGTATGTAGAATCAGAGACTGTGGGAGCTAGAAGGGTCTCCTGCAGAGATCTAATCCAACATCTTTGTTTTATAGTTGAAATTGTAGCTGCGTATTCAGAGACTTGACTTGGGCATTCATTTCCTGACAAGCTGGGCAGGAACCAGGCAGATGTCTTAGCTACTATCCCTGTGACCTTCACACAAAGCTCTCCCCATCTGATTAGCAAGCCCTCTTTTCCTGATTTAAGAGTTTTGTACTTGTTTTGTTGGCCTAATCGGAGCTGGCCGTTCTATACTTGAAATTAGAAGCAAGCTTTATGTTCTGACCCTGTTCATTCCCAATTAACTATTAAACAAGGGTGTGTTGGGGAAGCCGCATTCAGTTTTCAGTTAAAAGTGGAAGAATTGTTCAGACACTTCCATTATTCACACAGGGTCCCATAAAATGCAGCTGTATTTGCAACTGGGTATAGTAATGAGGTCAGTAAGGGGTGCTGGCCTTGGTTTTCTTTTCTATCAAGGACTTGGGTCACACAGAATCTCCTATGATTGAAGCAGAGTTTTAGACATGAGAGGAAAATAACTTTTTGTGTGAAAATACTAATTCATAACCCTACAGATGGCCAGGCAACCAAAGAATTAGAAAACAGAAGCTTAAAAGGAAGAGTCCTACTTCTGCGGAGGTGACAAGTAGACTACCTCACAGAGTTGAGTCCTCCTTCCTAAACTCTCGTGCTGAGATGCCCAACGGTACCAGAGAACTCACCAGCTAAGAAAATGAATCACCAGTAGACCCAGATGATATTGGGGTAGTTTTCTTCACTAGCCACCCCCTTTCAGAAAGATGGCATCTAGCTGGACTTCACAGAGAAATTGCTCCCAGGCAGGAAGTAAGTATGGACTCCTGGCTGATTCCAACTTTCTCAAGATAAGCTTTTTATTTTGAAAATACACATCTCCGTTCTTGGGAGTGATTACTAATGGTTTAACTACTTTTTCTTGGTAGAATCTTACTGGTGCATTGCAGGCGACATGTTTGTAGCCTTTGATCTCCTGTATTAATTAAAGGAAAAGACTCTAGGTCAGATGAGGCCCTCAGTGGGGACTTGGGTCACAAACGGGTGAAAACATCATGTTGTTGTTGTTTGTAGGTGCTGTTGAGTCAAGCATGACTCAGAGTGACCCGACCAACGACAGATCTGAACCTTATGCTCTCCGGCACCGTCTTCCTGAGCTCTTCCATGCTCAAGGCCATTGTGGTCACTGTTCCAATCCCTCTTCTGGCGGGTATTTCTCTCTTTTGCTGACTCGACTTTTCTCAGCAAGTTGTCTCATAGGACTGACTCCTACTTAAAATATGCTCAAAGTAATGGAACAGATGTTTACTTACGCAAAGGTATTTGAGTGTGTGGGTCATAACAAATTATGGCTAATTTTAAGAAGAATGGGAATCCCAGAACATTTAATTGTACTTATACGATATCTGTACACAGCTTTAGTTTGCTTGGTTCCACAGTCAACACTGTTGGTACCAGCAGTCAGGAAATTAAAAGACTAATTGCATTGGTAGAGTCAGCTGTCAGGGACCTCTCCAGAGTACTGAAGAGCAATAATGTCAGTCTGGAGACTAAGGTGTGTGTGATCAAGGCCATAATATTTGCAGTTACTTGCTATGCATCAGAGAGCTGGACAATGACTAGGTATGATAGAAGGAGAATCGATGCCTCTGAGCTGTGCTGCTGGAGAAAACTATTGAATATACCATGGACAGCTGGGAGAACAAGCAGATTCCTCCTAGAGAGGGTGATACCAGGCTGCTCCTTGGAGGCAAGGATTCTGAAGCTCTGTCTGACATAATTTGGACATGTTACAAGGAAGGATGAGTCCTTGAAGAAGGATGTCATGCTTGGGAGGGTGAAGGGACAGTGCAGGAGAGGAAGCCCCTCGATGAGATGGATTGATTCAGTGACTGAGGTAATGGGGGTAGGTGTGTCGGAAACAGGGCTGTGGTACATAGGGTCACTATGAGTCGCAGGCGACTTGACAGCACTTAATAGCAACAGCAGCAACAACAACAATACATAGTCCAAGAAGCAGTTGTTGGAAGAGAGCATGGTTTAAAATCAGGAAAGATGTGTGTCAGGGTAGTATCCTTTCTCCATACCTCTTCAGTGTATATACTGAGTAAATAATTCGAGAAGGCAGACTCTGTGAAGAAGAATGTAGCATCAAGATTAGATGCTCATCAACAATCTGTGTTACACAGATGGTACAACCTTGCTATTATTAGATGTCGTCAAGTAGATTACAATTCATTGGACGCTATGCACAACAGACTAGCACTCTGCTCTACCTTGCTCCATTACCAAAATCTCGGCTATGCACAGACCCATTATTGAAGTCATTGTGCCAATCCATCCTGACTGGGGTCTTTCTCTCTTTCTATAACGCCCCACTTCTCCCAGCATGATAACATTGTCCAAGAACTAGACCTTCCTGACAACGGGCTCAAAGAATGTGCGATGGAGGTTAACCAACCTTACTGCTGCAGAGCGCTCTGATTGCACGTCTGCTCAGACAGATTTGTTGGTTATTTGCCAGTGCATGGTATCATCAGTACTCTTCTCCAGCATCATAATTAAAAAACATCAGTTCCTTCATTGTCTGTGTTAGGTTGAGTGAGAGAGAGAAAAGAAGTTGAAGTAGCAAACAGACCTTTATTAAGTGAACCTGAGAGGGACACCAGGTGATCCAGCTCAGAAAAGATCAGAATGGCATGCAGGCTTTCAGTGACAGTTTCTTTATATAGGGGCTGTTAAGGAGATTTAGAGGGAATGGTAGGTTTGCTCAAGAATTTGGGGGTAGGGGTCCTGTCAATATGCAGTCAGGCTCAGGGCCTTATCATAGTCTGGTCCTCTAGCTGCCTATCCAAGACATCATCCAGCTTCCTCAAGGAATGGTCAGGCCTGAGGGAACTTTGACATTCATCCTCCAGGCTAACTTTCAGATGCATAAAGAGGAGTTTGAAAAGCCGAGGAAAAAGAAATAAATCCTATCTGAAGTATCGAATGTGTGTTTTGAGTGGAAAACACAATGACTGACATACTTGCGTATTTAAAAAGACTTGCTGGATATCCACAGGTATAACACTAAATTATAAGTAATTCTAAGTATACTTAATTAAGATAATAATAAATTAAAAGTGATCACTAAGAAAAAAGCTGTGGAAAGCATATCACTGATACCTCTTACAGTACACTTAAAACCCATACCAGTTGTGGTCAAGGGGAAACACCGTGTGTTACACACAAAAGGGAAGAAATACTGAAACACGAGAAAATGCACAGGTTCAACAAGATAAAGCAAAGTATGATAACAAAATGTGTAGAGTTTAGTTAAAAAAAAAGTAAACCACCACAAGAGAAGAACACTCTTAGTATTTCTCAAGCTGAAAGAACTCTTCAAGCCTCAAGTTGCAACACTGAAGGATTCTATGGGCAAAATCTTGAATGATACAGGAAACACCAAAAGAAGATGGAATGAATATAAAAAGTCACTGTACAAAAAAAAAAAGTTGACACTAAACCATTTCGATATTGTTGTTAGGTGCTGTCAAGTCAAGTACGACTCTTAGTGACCCTCTGAAAAACAGATCTGACCCCTAACCTCTTCTGCACCATCCTTATCATCCCTGACACATTTGAGCCCATTGCTACACTGTGTCAACGCATCTCTTTGAAGGTCTTTCTCTCCTTCACTGACTCTCTGCCTTTCCACGCACGATGTCCCTTGCCAAGCAATAGTCTCTCCTAACAAGTCCAAAGTATGTGAGTTGAAGTATCTCCATCTTTGCCTCCAAGGAACATTCTGTTTGCATTGTCTTCAAGATATATATTTGTTTGTTCTTTTGACAGCCCACGGAATTTTCAGCACTCTTCTCCAACATCACAATTCAAATGCTTTCATTCTTCTCCT